CTCTTTGTATATGCCTTCCCAAAAAGGAATAGATTCTCGGTAGAAACTTGATTTGTTAGTAAAATATTTGGTTTCTATGGAGACTTTCTTTTCCCTGTGAGTATATACCGAGAATCCATTCTGTTTCTGGACGCTACATACATCAAGGAAGAAGTCACGGGGATAAATTATAATCTTTTGCTTTGAAGTGTTATTTTTGCACAAAAATATCCATCAGAAGTTGAGACACCCTATTTTCAAATTCACAAAATCCGCACCGCCTCTTTGTCCACTTGCCATACTGATGACTGACTGACGGACACTGTCGACGCATGGAAAAGATGAGTTCTTCCACAAAATGCTGAAGGAATCTTCCGCTTTAATAGTCACGACGTAGTGGAATCAGGCGCTCGTCAATTTTTGGGTATATGGGGTTATTAGTATCATCCTAAAACCTGTTCATTTGCCTTCCTTTTGGTTAAAAAATACCCTTTTATAGAAGTCAAGATATTTGCGATTGAACTGGGTGAGGTTGCTTGGTTTCAATGGTGAAATTAGTGAGAAAATGGCAGCCAAATTTTGGTAACTGCCATAGCCTGTGAGTGAGCCCTTGGAAACTGAAAATTTACATTTGTGTGCCTTTAATCAATGTTTTTTGTAAAATACACACAAAAACGTGTTTATAAATTAACATGAAAGGTGTTGAGCCACAAAAAGAAAACAAGAAAAAAATTGCCTATCGGCCAAAAAATGTTGATTTCTTTGATTTCACTGTTTTGACAAGCACCTGGTTTCACCACGATGCCTCACATATTCTTTCTAGGTATTGCTCAAGTCAATGTAACGTTTGGGGCTGGTTAGTTCTCCGTGAGATTAGTTTTTATCCAGGGGCATTACGTGACGCAGCAGCGATACAGGACGCAATCTGTTCTCGAGATGAACGCGGTGGATGTCTCGGTCTTGTCTCCTCGTTCTGCCCGGCGAGGCCTACCTACCATTTCTAGTTCGACCATTCGTCGTTCCTGACACCCAGACGTAAGGCCACAAACGTTAAATGCTGTTTCTGTGGACGTTGAGCCTTTGAGTCACATCTCGCAGCGTACGTCCAGCCAGGAGCATTCCTAACGCTCGCCTTCTATCATTTTAAGACAGACGTGGCAGGTTTTAAAAGGAAAAATATCACTGTATTTTATTGGTGTTTTTTCTGACACAAACAGACACATAAAGGAGGTGAACCTTATACTCAGATTGTAATTCTGAACACGTGTAAAAGTAGAGGCATTATGAGGCAGTTGAATGAACTTTAAACAATAGAGTTATCGCGCTGGACTAAAAATATTTTTTTGCTGAAACAACTTACGTCAGCTTGCGTGTAAAATTTGATCACTGCTGACCATTGTTTAAGTTGTTACTTTTAAAAGTATGCACACTTTATTTTTTATTGAAATATATATATTGTTTTTATAATGA